AAGCTATGCAGGGCACCTCATCACAAGTCAGCGATAATTCTGGTAAGCAAGGATCTGGTCCTGTCGTTTTGGAGTAGATACCTGTCGAGTTGGTGAATTTGCGGTTCGCGAAGTTCTGGAAGCGTTAACTTTGTGTCAGGCGTGTGCTTGTGCAAGTCGTCAAGCTCTCGGAGGGCATGAGTATGTTCTATGGAGGGCTCCCAAACCACTAATTCTAATCAATACAAAAGGCGCTTGCGACCAAATCTAAAAGTGATTGTGTGTTTTTTTTTTTTTTTCAGAAATCTGTAGTGAACCAATGGGCATTCCTGCTGGTGAGCCTCAGAACAAAGGTACCTACAATTGCTCATAAATTTGTTTTGAGTACCCGTAAAGTGTACTACTTTACCTCTATAGCAAATGATAGCTGGAGAATTGTAGAGCATGGCAAGCCCTGAGCATCTTGTCACTACGCAGTGAATGAGATTGCAGCATTAGCCAATAACAGGAATGGAACTGCAGTGTCGATTGCGCCTAAGGATGTTTCGTGCGCCAAACAGATACAAAAGTATAAATAAGAATTAAATTGCACCAAGGTGCGTCCAAACAAAAATTATGAACGGCGCTCGTCAAAATTAGCCGTATCCCTACTGAAAAAAACCATTTGAAATTCAAACGGGTGGCAAACTGGTCGCCCGTTTGAATCAAACCTGTCGATCCGTTTGGATCAAACGTGATTATGGGATACGGGTACCCGTTTGGAAACGGTACCTGTTCGAAACGGTACCCGTTTGATACAGGTGCCCGTTTGATACGGGTGCCGTATTGTACGAGTACCCGTTCGACATGGCACGTGACCACACGTTTGAACGTGCCCTTCGAAATGGCAAATTATGCGCTAGCCCTAAATGGGTATCGTCTGGGAGGTTGGTTATCTTAAACATATTTAAGACGTCCCGAAACTCATAAACGTATATATAACATGGAGAAAACACGTAGAACAAATGCACTCACGTAGGTGCTTGTGAGTGGACAGGAAAACCGACACAAAAGATTGTTTTCAATTCTCCTCGAAGTTTATTACCTCTTCTGTAGACAAGTACAAACGTGAAAGCGATCTGTGAACACTATACAGGTAGGCTTTCGGGGAAATTATTCTCCTGGCTGCCGCGCGAATAGGCGCTGCATAATTTTTTAGATAATTTAGAAGAGTACGCGTAGAAGAACGGTCAATCGTTGCCAACACGTAGGTTGCAGTGCACTACCATAACAATAGCGAACTTGAAAGAGGTAATCCGTGATATTTGTCGACACGGTCAAAGCAGGACAACCACACAAACACAAACGAGAGGGAACGGCTCCTTGGAAGTTTCAACACGATGCGGCGCACAAGCTGTCATTTGCCGAACCCAACCAAACCGCGAGAAGTCGCGACTTGTTTGAAGAATCGCTGGTTGCCGACATACACGTGGGTCTTTTCGAACACTGATAGCTTTGATGCACATCCAATACGTTGTCGAGAGACATCCCAATAAGACCGCAGGGTAAGGCGACAGATTGAAGCAGGTAGGACGAGCGAACTTCGAGCGGCCACTGACAACAAGCAGACAAAGAAAAAAGCGGCTGCAAGGCGCGCCCTTCCGGATCTCGATGCTTATCAGCGTGTAGCTCGCGCGCTGCTGTGGGTCACGTGACAGGGGTGACAAGAGAGGAGGGAGGGGGCGAGGTCAAGGCGCTGGGACCACCGGGACAGCCCCTCTCCCTCTCCCCAGGCATTCCAGGGAGGTGCGTTTTTGTAATCCCGAAGAACAAACGCGCGCGCGCGCGCGCTCGAACTTTGGAAATGGCGGCGGGGCTGCCAGTAGATCGGCTTGCGCCCGAGCGAAGAAAGAACTCAGCGCAAGCTCGTAGTTTGAGTGCTGCAACGGCGGGCGTGCTCTCGCAATGCTCGATGTTCTTGCAGCCGCGTGTACGCGTGCTACCTTCGCTGCGTCTTGAATTAAAGTGAAACGGAGTCTAGACGTACATTCTTTCACGCGGTCGCGTCTTCTGCGAGAGAGATTCGAGCTGAATAAGTAAATTGAGGCAACAAAGATGGACAAAGTATTAAAGGTCTGTCAAAAATATCGGCTCACCAACGTCGCGCGTTTACGTAAAACAAAAAAAAAAGGTGTTAGTTTTAGTTGCAATATAATCGAAAATCAGCGCAATTGAAATATAAATATAATTACTTGCATTACGCGGACGATCTGATATCGATGAACCGGCGCTCCCAGCCTTCCGGAAAACATTGGCTGCCACGGCTGAAACGCTAGGCGTGCCCACGCCGCCGATCTGTACGTTCAATATCAAACGGGCTCCGGAGAGCCGTTTGATTAAACCGGTGCAGTTTGCAACATGGTCGCCGGTTTGAGCAAACGTGCGACAACTTTGCCCAAACGAGTCGCCCATTTGCCCAGACGAGCGACCCGTTTGCCAAATAGGTGACCGTTATGGCTCATACGGGGGACCCCTTTGAGCCATACGGGCGACCCCTTTGACAAACTGGCGACCAGTATGGTCAAACGGTTACCGGTATGGACCCGTTTATTTTCATATGGGCGCCAAATGGTTTTTTTCAGTAGGGATCGCAGTTTCTTTTGGCAACATTGACATCGGAACTTCCGGCCTGTGAATCTGAATCCAAAGCACTGTATCTGGAGGTCGCTGCCATGGTTATACTTCGTTTCAGCTTATAACAGTTGTTACAGTGTCCCTCATTGCGATGCTTCTGCTACCAGACCTCCTTAAAGCCGTTCGCTGCCACTCTGCTTTGTCTATGTCCACACGCAGATGATGCTACGAGAGCGAGCTCCAGACTTTCAGCGTCCCTGCCAAGAACGCACAATTGTGCAGTGCTAGCACTGTTCAAGGCCACATGCTAGCGCTCGTAGCATTGGCTGCGTCTGGACATAAGTTGAAACAAAATATGTTTGCTGTTGCCATGTGCTTTTCTGGAGTCCTGTAGTCACTTCATCTGAATAGTGGAGCAAACAGCACCGCCATATTGTTTTGTTTTGCATTAGTCTGGGCTGCTGAAGTTTCCTTGATGGACATCTGGTTTTCCCTCATCAAGGACCAATTGTTCGGTTCAGTTTACATTTGGCACAAAAAGAAATTGGCGCAACAAGCAAATCATAGTGGGACCGTCAAAGGACGAGATGTGTTGCCGCAGTTGTGCAAACACATAGAGAATCTTTACAACACAGGATATCCTTTCGTCAGTTTCCCTCAATGAGGGTGACGAAGACGGGAAACATCTTCGTCGAAAGGACTCCCGTTTTCCATGCACCTGTGGGTGTGGAAAACGCGTGCACAAGCAAGATCCAGAAATGGTCAATAAAATATATGCGCATATTAGTGGGAATACATTGTTCATTCTAATGTGGACATCTCACTACATTACGCGCCAGCCTTTGCACACAGAAGCATCCGCAAAAAGGTGTCTTGTACAGAGGGCAACACTGTCAGTGTGAACAAGCAATCACCGGTTTTTGCTGTTTTTCTGTCGGATTCGTAAGGGTGTCATAAAAACTACTGGTGTCGTGAGAAGGCTCATTTGTGGCAGCAACGTAAGCGGTAAATTTGGTGCCCACTAATACCACTTCGAAGTAAAAATGGGAAAAAAAGCACCACCGTCGTGTGTGAGCTAACAGGTCGCGCAGTGTACATCCCGGAAATTGAACTTTAAGGACAGCCCGGTCACTCTCTCCGGACGTATTCGAGGCACCACACGTGACGATTTCATCGCTGTGGCTGTAGACTCGTTTGGTAGCGACTGTATTTGCTGTAGCAGCACACTTCTAGTTCCTTGTGTATTAGACACCATTTTTTATTATTCAACTTTGTACACAAGATACATGGGAGGAATTGCCTAAAGACCCAGCTAAACATATAATTCATAAAAAGGTGCAAAACATAAATTTCTACTACATTTGTACTAACCCTACAAAATTATTCCAGGTTGCAAGTGGACTGATGGGCAAATGAGGCTCCTGATGGATATGTATGTAAGATTTAAAAATGAAATAGGCCCTTTCAAGAGGTTTGCTAACCAAAAAAAGATGTATTCTTCCATTGCACATGAGCTCCAAACCATCATGAGCACAATCAAAACCGCCGAACAGTGTGAGGCGCGTGTCAGAACCGTTATGAAACGGAAAAAAAGCCATTGATAATAACAGGACATCAGGGGCCACAAGGAGGCCTGTGCCCTTTGAACAGGAGCTTGAGCAAATAAGGTCGGTGGACGACAGTGTGCAGCCACAGATTATATGGAATGTTGAGGAGGTGTGGAGAAAGCTTCCTGCCGAGGAAGCACGGGAAAACCTGCAGCCAGAAATCACTCCAGATGATGGAGGAACATCTCAATCGAACCTAAGGAGAGCAGCCTCGCAGAGTGCCAGCAGGAGTGCGGCTGCAACGAGCACCAACGGGAGTGCGGCTGCAACAAGCACCAGCGGGAGTGTGGCTGCAACGATCACCAATGGGAGGAGTGCAGAGCGGGAGCAGCGACCCCGATCCCTACAGCCAAGCCGTGCCAGGATGGCTGAGCTGGCTCAGTTCTTTAAGAAAATGGATGAAATGAACGCTAACAGGGATGCCAGGGAACAACGACAAGAAGAACAGCGAGATGAAGACACAAAGAACTTGTGCAACTCAACAAGACCACCGCAAATCTGCTGCGAAGGCTATTCGGAGAAGCCGAAGTACCACTTGACGAGTAGTGTAGTGCAAGGCTATGTTTGCACTACGGATGCAATGTGCCAATCTTTCACAACATATGCAAGTCTCGGTGCAAATGTCTGTAGTTTGGTTGTGCTTACATTTGCATATGTTAGGAAAGATCAGCACTTTGCACCCATAGCATGAACATAGCCCAATCTAGACAAAATAAAAGTCCCAAAGTTTCTGGTTTTCTCACATTAACTCAGTTGCTGGAAGAGGGAGATCAAGGCATAAAGTGAGGACGGTTTGCCTTTTCAGCAAACCATCCTCACGAGTGCGCTGCGCTTCGTCTCCCCCAAGACTCGTAGCGCAGCCTCCACCTCGTCCTCGTCTTCGTAGGGAGTTGTGCGCTTGGTTGGCTCGGGAGCCCCTGGGTCCATGAGGTCATCTCCGTCAATACACAGATTGTGGATAACGCAGCACGACATGGTAAACTGGCACATTCTTTCCACAGAAATGAACTCCAGGACCTTCAGCTGCCGAAACCTGTTCTTAAGAATGCCAAAGGCGTTCTCAATGAGCACTCGTGTCGAGCTCAGTTTCGTGTTGAAGGCATGCTGCTTGGGACTGAGGTTCCCATAGTCCTTGTATGGTGGAACAAGGTACTCCCTGCATGGATATGCAGCGTCCCCAAGGAGATGGTACTTTGCTCCTTCACAAAGAGTTGGGATGCGCTTGGAAACAGTCGAAAGCTTAAAAACTCTCCCGTCATGAATCTTGCTCGGGCACCCTACCGACACGTCTAATAAGCGTCTCTTGTGGTCACAGATGCCTTGGACCGTGATGGACAGTATATCATGCCTGTTGATGTATGTGCTCCTTATCTTGTCTGCAGGGCACCGGATGGGAATGTATGACCCGTCGATACATCCGATGACTCCAGGCATGCCAGAGACCTGAAAGAGGAAACATAACATATAACCACAATTTCAAAGAAAATGGCAGTCGCTTGTTATTAGCTCACTGCAAACAGTGGTGGTCAATTGAGGGTCTGCTGCTGTATTCGGAGCTTCCTCTTTGGGTTGTTTCGACATTAAAAAAATTATTGCAAATTGCCCCGCAATTGTGTCGCTACATGAAACGTCCTGGTTTAGCGCTAGTAGTACTATTGTGATGCAGTGCTTAAGTTTAGGCCTAACGCTAACTGTTTCCTTATCGTTAAGCATCATTAGTGCCACTAGTGCTAAACCAGAACGTTTCACATAGCAACACAATTGTGGGACAATTTGCAATACATTTCTTTTCAACCTTGAGGCTTTGCTCTTTGTTAAAGACACAGCTTATGCATTTGGTTTGTCTCTTCATTGAAATGCGTCAACCTCCGTGCAGTGGCTCAAGCCATCGCTGCTTTTGGTCGTCGGCTGGTACTGCGAGTCATTGGGCCGCGCATCTGACTTTAGCGGCCAGATGCCTGCGTTGGCGGCGTTCTTCATCAGTGTTTGACGTGAAACATCTGGGTACATTACTCCAATTGATGCAGCTGCGTTCGGCGCCAAATAATACTTCGTTTCACTTGAGGTCCGAGCAAAGTCAAAGCTACAGCAAAAAATTGGGTAGTGTGTATGCTTATACAGCCTAGAACTTGGTCTGCCTCAACAGGCGACGAGTCTCCCAGCTGTAGATAAGGAATCTAGCCAGTGCAGTAACACCGTTAGCCTGGGGCCTTAAACGTGCATCACGCAGTGGTGGTCCATGACCACACGCCGGTACGATGCTCATCCAGATCGAAATGGGCGGGGGTGGAGATTGAAACCAGGGTCGGGGGTTCTGCAGCGCGAGCTTTCGCTCCTTGTGCTCCGAGCTGGTGTGCGTTAGCCCACTCGGCCACCAATCCCCCCCAAGAGCTACAGCACGAGCCCTATGTTCTGTGCGTTCGTGACTCGCACGTGGGCTTGTCCAGTGCACGGGGCCAATCAGCATCGACAGTAACTGCGCAGGTGGGTGGATATGGCTATACTCCTCTACTCATTGACCAATCAGCAGTTAGACTTTCGGTTGCATTCGTTTTTTGGGCCTCACGATGCCTGAGGAACTAGGTTAAGAATATTTCACATTAAAAAATGTACGGGAACAGGAACTTCGCTTGAGCATACGGTAACACAAAAAAGGAGGCCCCCTTGGACGGCACACCCGCATGTGCAGGCGATGCCCATGCATTTGAGCCAGCACTGATAGGTAGCGTGCTGATGCGGTTCAAACGCCAGTGCCATGCTCTGTAAAATTCTGGCCCTGCATGTACATCTTTCGTCCACCTGCAGTACCATGGACAACAAAGTGTCACTTTTGCCCTGCCTAACCAGGACAACCTGGGGGAAGGCCCCAATCGAGGTCATCTGAGCAAATATCTTTGATCCGTGAAGACGAAGGAACCATACCTGCTCAAAATCGCTGGAGAGCTTGTCGAGGTCAGATAGAAATCTGATAACCCTGTAGGCGATCTGGCATAGATGCGTCATCACTCGTGTTATCATAGCGTGGCACGTGCTCTCACTCACTCCAAAGCGTCCAGCTACATCTCGGATGGACGTTTTGTTGCCAGCTTACCTGACAAGGAAACGCACAGAATACAGATCAATATTCTTCATACTGTACAACAGTGAGTGTTTTTGTTAAGTACACCGATTCAACAACATGCAAAAATAATCTAATTCAGGGAACTAAACTTTGCTTCAGTATAACTTGGCAAACAGCAAAAGCTACGTCCCCAATTCGCTAATTGCAGTATCCCGGCATAAGGCTCGCAACAGTGGGGACGTCATCGCTGTAGAACGGCAGCGAGGTCGCTTTCGCACACAGCATATAACTTATCTACAAGTGGCATTGCTAATTAATCAATTTCCGTAAGAGTGGCACCCCCTGCTGCATTCCTGGTTTGGGGATTAGCTTGATCGGAAAAGATGCACAGTATTAGGACTTACCATAGGAAGACGAGAATGTGATGCTCAGGCGTCTTCTGCGGTGTTCCTCCGTGAGTTGACCTGTCAGGGTATGCAGTTGATGCCGCGAAGTCGGCAATCAATTTCTCGCAGGTACTCCTGTGAAGCCTGAAGTTCCGTCGGAACTACGGTGAAAAGATATTTGTTAGCAACGTGCCCCTAGAACTCGCACTACTTTATAACATACCTCCTCGTCGCTGTACCTGGAGACGACGGTCTCGATGTAGCCCTCGATTTTTGGCCTCGGCTCGGGAACCGAAAACATCAAAAAGCTGTTTGAAACAGAAGAATATCCTCCTCTATGTCGTCCCTGCCGATCCGATCCGACTCAGGGTATATAAACAACAAACTGGCGATGGCGTGCGCGTCTACGATGGAAAAAGGGGGAAATGGCAAGCGGTCATCTACTTCCATGTCCTCCATTTTGCCCTCGGTGTGACGCGGTCACGCGGTCATGGACGCGGTGGCGCGATGGCTCGCTCAACGATTCGCGTTGGCTTAAGCATTGCATTCCGAGTGACTTGAGATCAGTTTCGTTTTCTCCTCGACAAATTCGGATGTGACGACACCGACGCCACCGGATATCGACTGGTCGCCCGCTGGCCCGGTCGTTTGGAGCTCGGGCGAAAAAAGCGCCGGAAAGTTGCCAGCGCTTGCCGATGAACCGCCACCCGAACGATGCGCGCCCGCCGGATCCCGACCACGCGAACGCTGTTGCCGGGCGTCCGGCAAAAAAGGTTGCCGGAGATTGACCACGCGAATTCGCCATAAGCAATCTCTACTGCATTGGCTTTCGGAAACCCGGATAGTAAATACAAGCAGAGACAAACGAAAGAATTCGAGAGAGAGAGAGAGAGAGAGGTGTAAAGGGGAGGGTCGCGCCGACGGCCTCGGAACGGTTTCGAAAAGGGCGAGAGAGGGTATTGAGGAACAGTTTCCCTCCCCTCTTCCCCACGCCGACACTAATCTCTACAAATCTCTTCTTTGTGAGCGAAAAGGCCTCGTCGTCCTTGAGGGAGGAGGACACTGCGCATTGCTAAGCTGACAGTGCAGGGGGAGCTACGCGCCGGCCGGACCAGTCATCACCTGCACCGCTCTCTGCGCGTGGTTACGGGAGAGAGCGTGACTACGGGATTAAAATAGACCTACGATTGGTTCACCGAGCTTCTTAGCTTCCTCTACACTCTCAGCATAGGGGTGATGGAGTCTAGCCCGCGAAACACACGCAGACACGCATAGAGAAAGTGGGATCGCGTGCACCATGGCCACACGATAAGGTAGCGACTAAAAGACGTTGGCGACGGTCTCCTCAATTTCCAACAGGCGCATCCGCGAACTGCAAGTGGGCGGATGCGCTTCGCAATTTATGCATGTTTTTTTTTCTTTTTTTTTTTTGTGGCAGAAATATCTCTTTTTTATAAGGAACAAGAATGGCAAGATAATCATGCGGATATGAGGACACCGTGATGTCCGTTTCTAAGTTGTCTGAGTGTATTTGATTGTTTAGCAGACTGTTTCTATCGGGCGAAGCGGCTCGGCATCTCCGCCATCAACGCTACCCTATACTGGAACCGGCAAGAACGGTGGTTCTAGAGTTCCAATCACCAGCAGCGCATCTCGTCTTAGTGCCAAGTGCGATCTTCAACATGCGGATTGCCAGGACCATGGATATTCTTTCGGCAGCGCCTACAAACCGGTGATCTTCCTTTGTTGTTGGCATACATGTGACCACTAGCTTCGACGGATCGAAGACAGGACGGAACGCCTTCTCTTCCCTGTGAGTGACAAGGAGAGGGCCTCCTGACCATTGGGGATAGGTATTCTTGCTACGCAATGTACGTTTTGTCACTATCCGATGAGTTAGAACCGTGTTGAACTCTGTGCCACGAATCTCCGACAAGTTCAACGTGTAATCCACAGCGATCGGCCCGAAATGCCCTGTACAGCGCTATTTGTGAGTGTTTTTTATTCTAATAGCCCGTGAGAGACGTTCTGATTGGTTATTTCTGGGTTCTAAGCCTCTTTTTTTAATTTTTCTTCTTGAAATATGTCTATCTTCTTGGCGGTAGATGTGTGCTGCAGTAGAAAGTCCTCCCGGTATGTCCAAAGCCGAATACCACACAGCGTTGAGTAGTCCTTATCTGCCACGGTTTGGCTTGTTGGGTGAGAGTGGAGTGTCAGTTATGTCACCGCGCTCTGCGAGTGTAATTGCCAGTAATTGTCTTTACACGACAAGCTATTTTATGTGCGTGATTTATTTTAAATACTGGATTGATTCAAGCACCAAGTTCTGTTCAACTGTCATGTTCTTACGTATAACGGGATATTTATTGAACTGTTAATTTAGTAGTGCGTTTGACACTGGCGAGCTGAAAAGGGAGCTCAGCGGTTCGATTTATAAATTGTAAATATTATGGAGGCAATATGGGTACATTTATAACTACATATTTCCGTGCGGCATATACCAAAAATCTTAAAACCGTTTTTTTTTTTTTTTTTTGAAATCAACGCAGAAATATCGGTGTGAACTTAGATGGCGAGATTGTAACTCTTAATGCTTCTTAAAGCTAGATTAAAGGTTGAGGGACGTTATGACGTTGCAAGAGTAGAGCTAAGAAGTTTATAAAATAACCTTCGTACTAATTGATTAATTTTTTTAAATCCCTATGAATATTTTAATCTAGATCGATCGAGCTCTGAGTAAGGACAAGTCGGACGAACAAAACAATAGTAAACGCCTGGGCCGTCTTGCGAGAAACAGAGTCTCAGCTGAGACGGAGGAAAGAAAGCACTGTCAAAGCCAGCGTACGAGCTGAGCGAGACTCAAGCCTCGAGTCAAGAGGCTCGCGTGACCCAGCCTTTACAGTGCTTTCTTTCACCCAGTCTCAGCTGAGACACTATTCCAACAGGCCGGCCCCGGTGTCTTAGCTGGGCATCCATTTATTTTAGAAGGCAGTACCAAGTTTTTTGCATAAAAAATAACGAAAAATAATTCGCTGTAAACGAAAGTTTATAATATGGAAAAGTAAACATAAAACGTCGGTAGGCCTTTCCGAGATTTTTTACTTGAAGAGCAACTGAGCCGATTAATCGAATAGTTAATTAAAGGGCGGCGATCATTAATGAAGCTATGTTTTATTTTGATATTCAATACTGACAAGCGTAAGAGAGAACTCAGAGCCTCTGAAACCCTTCACCTGAATACAAACCCCGCTTCTGTCTCTTTCATAATCCTGTGGCCAGGCCCCTGCGTCGAATCTCTCTGCCCAGCCCTTCGCCCAGGCCTTTGTCCTCTCCACTACCGAGCCTGCCGCCGACCCTGCCGCCGAGTCTGCCTAGGCCTCCCTGGTTGCACAATGTTTATATTTTTTTTAATTTTATTTAAATAAATTATGAACTGTCAAACGTTATGAACAATTCATTTGCATGCTTTAATGATTTCTAAAATGTCCAAATATGGCAAAAATTGCAGCATTTATTAGATTTTAGTATCAGAAAGAAAACAGTGCTTGAGGAAAAGGGGCAAGGAACTTGTTTTGTTCTCTGCACTGTTTTTGTGACGCTGGTTAGAACACTGGCTGAAAAATGGCATACACGATGAATGCAAAAATAGCCAGTGTATTAGACTGGATGCCGATATTGGAATAGCCAATATTTGAGCCAATGTTGGAAGAGCCAGTGTGTAAGGCACTGGATGCCAATGTTGGTTCAGCCAATGGTGAAACCTCTATGCCAATATTGGATAAGAAAAGCGCAAACCACGTTGGTCCCACGTGGGCCAGAACGTTGGCAAACCAGTGGTCCAGCTTCGGCACCAATGTTGGACCACCATTGGATCGGGTGGCGTTTTCGAAAATACCAACGTCAGACCAATATTGGAACCATTTTTGCGAACATTGGGCCAACGGGGGTCCAATAATGGTGTGCTGCCTAGGTGAACAGGAAGCGCGTTGTCTTCAGTGACAATTCCGTGTTTCGCAACGGTTGTTTGACGCACCTTTGACGACGTGGTGAAGCACTCATTGAACTCGGCAAGAAGGTCACTGGGTTGTCGTCGTTGTGGGGTAGGCAGGGTTGGGTCGATGTCAAACTGCGAAGGCGGCGTTGTTTTGGGTAGCCACGAAGAGAGGTCTTCTGATATTCCGGCGATTGCGGCTGAGTCCGGGAGTTCATCGGCATGAACCACGGCAGTGCCTTTCGTAAAGTACTGGGCCTCCCGTCGAAAGTTCGTTACGAGTGCGACAGTGTGTCCGTTTTGGAGCTCCGCGATGCCTCTTGCGACGAAAATCCCTCTTCCTAGAATCAACTGGAGGCTTCCTTCGTGCAAAAACGTCGCCGCACAAAGTCTCATCGACCCTAACGGGTACGAAAACACTCGACCGCGACGGTAAGTTCACGTGGTTTGCGAGGACTCGTACTGCGGATGACGTCGCTTTGGGTTCCTACAGTGGTGGAGCAGGTTTCCGTAGCGTCAGCCGGTTTGCTCCGAGGTCGATGACGGCGATATACTCGCAGGGAAAGTCCATTTCGAGGATAACGTCCCTCAAACAGTCTTGCAGAACGACGAACTTGACAGGGCACGTCTCACGGTGGATT